ACCCCCACGGTGTTTTCTACCCTAGATCGATAGGTTGCGAAGGGACAACTCCGAGGCAGCGAACACAAAGAGCAGGATTTGGGGGTTTAAAAACCGCTTGCTTTTAAAACAACTGAAGATAAAAGCGGGGACTTCCCCTGCCTGGGTAGGGGTGGAACTCGATGTGCAAATCTGGATTGCCCAGCGTCGGGCCCAAATCTGAATTTGCGCTGTGCACTTCGGTGTTAACCTCACTAAACCTTGTTCCCCACTTTTTTAACATCTAAAGCTTATTAAAAGAGAATAGAATAGGATCCAGTAAGGATGGACATAGATTTTTGCAATAATACAGATTTCTTTCTTACGTATGGTGAGCAGGATCAAGATTTTTTCGGGGCGGGGAGAAGCTTTATATTTTTCTCTTTGGAACGTATTTTGCTTGATTTGTTCGAGGTCTCCGAGTCGAACGTTGAAGAGTCTGATTTGAGCATCTTATTCAAACGCACGTATTCCTGTCTTCAGGTCCAGTTCCTCAAAATAAACAATGAATGGGGAAGGGGGGAGGTGAATAATTTGCGAACAGAGCTTGCCTCACAGCATACTCTCATTTTCTCCAAAAAATTCTTAAAACACAGGTTCCATTCCGCTGAGGTTCCCTAACTACACCCAATGTAAAGGGCAGGGTACCCAGGGATTCCTGCCAATTCATAGAACACAAGAATAGCAAAAAATAGTGAATAAAAATGTTGGTTTCTGTAAGCCTCTCCCAAACAAATCAAACTATCTTTAAAATCCCCCCCCCCATTATTTCTGCTACTCTGCCTGATTCTGCAAATGTGCCAGTTTCCACTAGGAGATGGCAAGGGTACCTGGAATTTGATGTGAAGTAGGCAGATGAGCCCCTCTCCTGCCTTGCTCTCCTTAATTTTCATACCTTCAAGCAAGGCTCAAGCACACCTCACATTCAGGTTCATGGATGATGCTTGCTTGTCCAATTACAGAGAAAAAGTTTATTCAAAGTCATTCAAACCTACAGTTTAAAATATTTCTAGATTAAATGCAATTTAAATTGAGACACCGTTTTTTCACCCTTCAGACTGGTTAAGATATGTTGAGTTGGCCTATGTGTGGTAAATAGGCCCTCCTATATATTGTTGGTGGGAATAAAAACAGTAAACAATAACAATATCGACCTTAATTTTATATGCATACGCTGTTTCCCCAGCAATTCTTCATCTAGACATTTATGCTACAGATAACTTCACAATGTGTAGGGATACTTGTTAGAGCATTGTTTATAGTAACAAAAGACTGGGAACAGCCTAAAGATGCCTGGGTAGGAAGTGGTTAAAATACAGCACTGTTGAGAAGAATGAAGCACTCAGTGTGTGCTGATGTGGACCAATTTCCAAGTCATATTACTAGATGAAAAAAGCAAAGTGCAAATCAGTGTGCAAAAGCAAGGAATGCATGCAAGGCACTCTTGTACACCCAGAACGCCACCGGCCTTCCGTCTAGTTGGTAGTACCTATGGTAAATATTTTATATATATGTGTATACACACACACACACACACACACACACGAGACTACATTTTATATATACTGTGTGTGTGTATTTGTTTGGCCTTAAGATTATCTCTAGAAGACTACATATTTATTATGTGCAAGTATTGCTTTAAAAAATAATTAAAAATTATACACTCTTAAGTTCAATAACCAGTTAACATGTTTGTAGTATATTAGCCTCACATACTTACAATGCTTATACAATATTATTGCAACTGGGTAAAAAATCAACACACATTTTGACAAGACTGGAAAGACATGTAAAATTTAAATAGTTATGTTTAGAATTTGGTTATAAGGTTTTGTTTCTATTTTCAAAATGTCTTCAAAGATGTTACGTTTGTTTTATAATATAAACATTTATTTTTTTAAGATTTTTTTAAATTTATTTATTCATTTGAGAGAGAGAGAGAGCATGAGCTGGGGAGAGAGGCAAAGGGAGAGAGAGAAGCAGACTTCCCGCTGAGCCGGGAGCAGATGCGGGGCTCCATGTGGGACTCAATCCCAGGACCCAGAGATTATGACCTGAGCCAAAGGCAGACACTTAACCATCTGAGCTACCCAGCCATCCCTATAATATAAAAATTTATTGAGACAAAAAGTAAGAGAAACATCAATGAATTAAGACAATGTCTTAATCATGCCATTTCAGGAAAAAAAAATCTGGTTCAGTTACTGGAACTTTTTAACTTAATTTTGCAAATTCTACATATGAATTCATAACCAGACTACTTTACTGGGGAAAGTTTCCAATTAGCAATAATGGCGCCTCAGATAAAACCTCATTGGCTCCAACACTGCCACTGGGCAAAGTTCAGCCAGACTATCTTACTAACGGACCGGTTTCTATGTGTAGATCTTGATCAAAGAGCCAGGAATAAAGTGAGGATGGGTCAACAATTCTCACTTCCACCATAAATCCACAGTCTTGCTGAAGAGATTTCAGAGGACTAAGATTAAGAACTTTTTCCACATCAAGTATTCAGGCCACCACATCACTACTGTTCCAAAGCCTCCTCAGATGTTGTTCGCAGTGAATCTGTCTCCAATGGCCCAGCATTTGAGGACCTCGCCCTTTGGCACTCTTTCAGACTTCAGTTCCACACCTACTTCTGGTAAGCTCGATTATATCGTCCCCAAGAATAAATGTACTTGTCTCCTAGCCTTGGTTGAAAGCTCTCCGCTCCTTTCAATCTTCTCAGTCCTTTCAAGCCTTTTCTGACCGCTGCAACCCTCGGGGACCGATCTTAAATACAGACAGCCCCTGTTGCCTGTACCCATCACTGCATTCTGCCGTATGACATCTTTTGTACGTTATTTAATTAGTCGGGGTTCCATATCTTTTCCCTTTATATAGATAACACACTCTGAAAAAGTTATTTCTCTTAATATCCTTGCACATTGTGGAATATTGCCCACCCAGAAAGGTACCGCTCTGTTTATTTTAGGCACTCAATAAGTACCTACCAAGTGAATGACTCACATCTGTGACATTGTAATAGATATGTTTTGCAGTCAGCTTTGTGTCTTTTAGGTAAAATTCATTGTCTCACAAATGTTCCCAGAACGAACATAGGTTACATTAAAACATGACATGAATGTTACTATGACTAATGCCAGAAAGGGGAAATGGGGAAATCTACAGAGAAAAAAAGATATCTTAATTATTTCAATTAATGGAATAGCTCTTGACCTCAGATGTCCTCCGATAGTGTGCAGTGCTCTATCTAGTAAAGCCATATATGGTGATAGCTTGTCGTGGAGGCACATCCATAAAATGTTCTATCCTGGCAGATAGTCTCTGCAGGAAGCACTGGTTATTAAGTGTAAAACAATAGGTCACTGCTTAAGAAATGTAATATGTTTTCCATTTGAGAAAATTCTATATAACCATCAAAACTCATGTGACACAAGAATATTCATTGACATGGAAAAATGTTCACTATAATGCAAACTTCAAGGACAAGTTATAAAGGAGCACATACACTATTCTTCTGTTTAAATACATACACGCATATATACATAGTCATAGCAGAGAAAAGAGATTCGATTGGAATAGGCTGTATGTTAATGGTGGTTATCTCTAAATGAAAAAAAAATTTTGTACTTTTCTGTGTTATTTAGATGTTTTACATTAACTATCCATTTATTTTTCTTAGTAAGGGGAGATGTTAACTTTTTACACTACCACTGATTATGTCAATTTCTTTTCCATCTGCCCTCTTTCTAACTTGTTTGTCCCCTTCACCACCCATATAAAACTAAGCAAGTTTCTGCTGTTAGGTTTATAGGCAGGCTGCATAACTAGAAGGTAGGGTCACACTGGAATGAGCAAACTCCTTGAAAAACTCTTAACGTCAAGATGAGGTAAGCTGTTACTCAGTTTGAGAGGAAATCTGAGATCCCTGTTCACCTTTTGAGTTCTGTGATGTGTAATACTCAACCACAGTTCTTCCAGAAGCCTGACTCATAAGTTACTCATAGAGATAGGTAGGCATACTGCCTTTCAGACCAATCTGACACAATCTCTACTCATGCCCACTTGCCATTTCCATGTGCACACAGGAAGACATGTCCTCCATTCAGGTGTAGAAAAGCCTGTTGTAAATACGGTAAAAAAAAAAATTATATATATACACACAATATATATACACAGAGACACACACATCACCATGGGGCCACAGGCCGCTTTTCAGGTTTCCTAGTAAAGCAGGTTACCTAAATATGATACATATTGGCTCCAAAATCCAAAGAAACTCATCAAACATTATGTCTCATTCTTTTTTTTTTTATTATTTATTTATTTGAGAGAGAGAGAGCACAAGGTGAGGGGAGGCACGGAGAGAGAGGGAGAAGCAGATTCCCTGCTGAGCAGGACTCCATCCCAAGACCCTGAGATCATGACCTGAGCCGAAGGCAGACGCTTAACCAACTGAGCCACCCAGGCGCCCCATGCCTCATTCTTAGAGATAGGGAGCTCAAGATGAAGAACTTGACCTTCATTCTTCTATATTATTAAATTCCCCTCTGGAGTTTCACTGGGACAGCAACCCCCTATATTTCTCAG